AAATACTTAATAAATGAAAATATATTTTGTATTTGAAAATCAGTTTTATCTGAAGATGGCTGAGATCCAGACGAGTCACCGACGAGTGGTTTTAGTGCATTGCGATCGAGTGACCACTCGTCGTATTATAGACACCGCCAAAAGTCTGGGCCTTTTCGACGGCAACAAGATATGGGTCTTATTAGACGGCCTCATAGGGTCGGCACACATCACATCCCCATCATTGCGCCAGTATTTAGATCTGCCGAATGGTATGATTGCTATCAGACATCGAACTCAACATCAAAACGATATCAAAACCCTCACATCAATCATACAATTAATCGGAAGAACTGCTTCCAGTGTTTACAAGAATTCAAGATTTTTGCTCAATAGTGACGGCAAGAATGGGTCGACGCTGGGAGTGAGCTGTTGGCGAAACACCACCGCCAACACCAGAAAGTTCAATGATTTGATCTTCAAGTAATTATATATATATTTAAATTTATTACATGTTTACTCCTAATCTATTAATATTATTTCTATCTGTAATGATCTCAAAGAAATTAGCGTTTGTTTGCATTAAGTTTGAATTCTTTATTTATAATTCTCTCATTTTTATTCTGTCGATGAGTTTCAATATTCCGGTTTCTGTCAACACACCATTCAATTGATTGTTTTTGTTTCATATCTATGATGTATATCAAAAGTAAACGTCATTTTATGTCTTATAATTTCAAGTCTGCTTAAGTAGTATATAAGAGCTACATCTTAACGATAATTACTTTCCTGATATCACACCAATAACTGAATATTATGCAAATATTTACATTTTAATCAAAAAAGAGTCAAAACGTTATTAACATGACACGTAATCAATATCTTTTACCCTGATTCATTAATAGTCGTGTATTTATAAATATAAAACTATGCTTTAACCTAATTCTTGATTCAAATTATTAGCTAGGTTTATTTATGGCAATCAAATAGTTTTTGCACACTCTTGTTAACGTTGTACAGTATAACATTAACTGTAAAATAATCAGAACTTTATTGAAGTATACCAAGGAATTTAAAATTAGTTGTTTATATTTAAAGAATGGGGGTCAACAAGGGTTTGCTGTCAAAAATATGTGTAGAGTTATGGTTAGTGCCTCACATGCCATCACTTTTGTGAGACCATGTCATGTATAATATATATTACTGAAGGGTTTTGTGCTTTTGAATCGATTCATAGATTTGATGGTTTTGATAGTGAAGTCTATATAATAAATGTCAACAAATTCCTTAAATTGTACGAAAGCTTTTTACAGAAAATAATACATTTTTAAAACTAATAATATATTGGATATAAAGATATATTAAACTCTTTTTTCATTGAATTCTCTTTTTTATGACAAACTGTAGTGAATTTAACATTTGAAAAGTATATCATTTGATTTGAAGTTAACTTAAAACTCCTCTCAATCTATAAGTGAAGCCTCACTGAACACAATCGGGAAGTATTTTGTAGTCTTTATTCAAATTCGTTACCAAAATGCTAAGCAATTTCTTTTGACTGAAATATTTATAATATCTCTTACTCTACTGTATATATCATATATAATTCAAACATATAGTATTTATTTGATAGAAATGCATTTGGAGAAAATATTTTAAATAATTATCAAACATTTATTTGAATTCATTATTTATTTAGTATAATTTAATATAATGTAATTTTCGTATAAATTATTTATTAAATAGTTTCGTCAATTTCTAAAAGGACTTAAAGTTAATGTTTATATTATAACAATGCCATCGAATTAATAAATATAGAGAGATTGTTGCCTATCATGCGAAACATAATTTCGCTAATTATACAAAAAAGATTTCATTTCATACATGATTTTTAACCAATTGCTCAAATAACCAATATAATATTATGGCTGGAAATAGATGTTTTATTGAAATGTTTATTTGTGATAACTTATAGAGTATTGAGTTTATCGGGAAAAATGAAAGCAAATTCTTTGAATACATTATAAGGAATGTGTGTTTTTCTAATCATCTGTTTTTCCTATTCATACAACGCTTCTCTTTTTTCTCCTTTTTTTGTTGTTTTATTGTTTGAGTGGTCTTTCATTTGAATGTGTGATGTGTTTGTCTATTGATCACAATGTGTTCGCCAATGTTTGCCAACACCGTTAGCGTCAGCTTTATATGAATCGCCTATATTTATAACCAGAGATGAGCCCCAGAGATACGTTTATAACAGAATTTTTTTAATATATAATTTTAGCTTATTTTTACAATTAAATGACGAGAATAGATAAAATGATATATTTTGTGTTTTGGGATTTCCATTTATTTGTGTGCATTTAAAACAAATATGCTTTTAATGCCGCATAATTACCATTAATTCTGGTCATCACTGCACTCGCAATGCATTTAAATGTATAAATCAGATCCAAGTTTAGATTTTTTTCCGCAAAAAACACATTTAAGTGAAAAGAGAATTTAATTCAAACCTCATTTGCCCTTCAATTTAATGGAGACTCGCATTACTCTTATTTTTTACAAATCTTAACAAATGTAATCATAAAAAAGAAGTTATTCTGTATAAAAGAAAATTTATTTTTCATTAATTCATTTGCAATTGTTTTTGTGAATCCGTTATCTATGGCGCAGAGAATTGCGGAAATGGTTGACTCCTATGTCGACGATTAAATCAAACCTATTATGCAAACCAAGAAAACATATGAATAACGAAGACAACAGTGATTTGCTTGGCGTGAATGAGGAGCACTTGTGGTCGGCGCCGACATTTGATATCCTCAATCTGGTTCCGGTGCTCACCGGTCATTCAGCACAGGAGTGGAGGGTTATAGGAAATATCACCAAGGACAACGCCACCATCAATACGATCCGATACATTGGCCACACATCCGATGTGTTGACGAGTGGAAAGCATAGGTTCAGAATCGCCACTAATATCGCGCCGCCGTTTGTCATTGAATCGTCCAAATTAGACAATAATACGTGTCTTACCGGAGACTTTTGCCTTCAGGTACGGCTCAACTGATTATTATTTATTTATGTCTTATAAGAAATACAAATAATTATATCCATTCACAATCACTGCTCTCAAGAATCGCACCATTTATTTGTTTTTTATACTCAGAAATGGCATTATTCTGTGTTTTATGAAATTCTGTGCTTAAGTTTTGCTGTTTTGCGTCCATTTACAGATTGATACGAAAAATCGCGACGATTTGATCGCTATATTCACAGACTTTCGGTCGGATAAGAGGGAAATGGAGGGAATCAGTTACGAAGTGCACTGTTGTGCGGGAATATCCATTGATTTGCTCAACGCCGTGGCCCGGGATATGAACTTTGAATACGATCTGTATTTAGTAGCGGACGGTCTGTTCGGAGTGCGGCGGAACGGTCAGTGGGACGGCATAACGGCCGACCTCGTCAACGATGTGGCGCACATGAGTTTCACGGCATTCAGCACTACCAGCACTCGTGTTCAGGTACTGACCCATTAATTACACATTTGTCTCATTAATACCCACTCATTGGACTAATGGATCGATATATAGGCAATCGACTATTCGGTGCCATTTTTCTACTCGGGAGTGTCATGTCTGGCGCGATCGTCAAACTATACGGACGTACCACTCGAGGCTTTCCTAATACCTTTCAGCTATCAATTATGGGTCGCGATATTCACGAGCCTTTTCACGACAGCAGTCGCGGCTGCTATTTATGAGTGGTTCAGTCCCTTCGGTCTCAACCCGTGGGGACGTCAGCGCACAAAAAACTTTAGCTTAGCCTCAGCTCTATGGGTGATGTGCTCTCTACTATTCAGCCATTTAGTCGCCTTCAAAGCACCCAAATCCTGGCCCAATAAGGTATTCCCACTTCTTATCATATCATACAATACATAACACTCTCATAATATGAAAAATAATGACTTTATCCACGAAATCATTCAAAGTTATAGTCAGTTTTTTGGGTAAAAAGATCTTTTCATCTCAAATCAAATCAAATGTTATATTATATTATATTCTTTTATATTTATTTATTGATAAATATTTATACAACGAATATTAAATTAGTTTTGATCAATAAATTCAATTTGGATTTATTTTTATAAATCCCTGAATATTTTGATAACAAAAACATGGCTATTATAGCACAAAGCCATTAGTTAACAAAAAATAATAATAATAGTCGTTCATTGAATTTGTTGCATAATGTGATATATTTGGCTGTTTTCTCTAAAATAATGAATATTTAAAATTATTTCAATCCTAACTCTATTTAACGATTTTAAAAGCAAGAATTCACTCATATATTTACACAATATTTGAATTTAAAATTCACACCAATGTCTTACACTATATAATAAAATAAAATTTTTAAATTTGCGAATCAATAAATGCTAATTCAGTAGATTTTACTTCTCTCTCTCTCTCTCTCTCTCTCTCTCTCTCTCTATTGTGCCAAAACTTCAATAGACAACTGCACTGACATTCCGTGTTATGAATACTTTTGCTTTGATTGTCAAATGTTTGTTATAGTTTAGGGCGATATTCATTCCTCATATCTTTTGTTCATTGAGTTTATGACTTGAAATATAAATAATATTACGTTTTATTGATATTAAATGTCAAATAAACCAAAACATGCTTTAATTAAAATGAAAAGAAATAACAACTCTTCAGGAATTCTATTAAAATCTGTAATTCAGTCCAAACCCAGTATAACACACATCCATCACATTGTAATATTATATATTATAATAATATTATTATTTTATCATGTCAAATTAAATAACTTAAACAATATTTTATATTTTCAAACAAACAATAACTATACTTTTTTCCTAATCTCAAATTTTCTTTTTCTTTTATATTTGAGTGCAAATATATAGATAAATATCTAATTTTAGATCTAAATACTAATTCCTTGTTACCACATGTCTAATGGTTCCAATAAAACTAATTCCTATGAATTGTTGGACTTTGAAACTCATTGTACAGTACTTCAAACATAGGTTAATCTAGTAAAAGGGTTAGCCTATACAGTACTATAGTCTAGAGTCTAGACATGCTAATGAATTCATGTTCTCAAAGTAATTCCGTTTCCGTCTGGAATTGGATAGGAACTGGAATTCCCAACCGGAAAATATTCACAAATATTAAGATTCAGACACAACTTACTACTCTAGTTATTATTATTTTAAGTAAATTATGATGTCAATTCTTACCGTTAGTTGAACAATATTTCCTAATAAATTACTAACTCTTTCTTATCTAATAATTTATTACTATTAATTTCAATATACTAATTATCTTATTGATACTATAGAATAAGTCATTTAGTATTAGTTTTATTTTTGCAGCAATTCCCAAAATATATGTGGGATTTTATAGATTTACTAGATCTACGGTAGTCATTATTTTATCATTTATTTATCATTTAATAAAACTATCTCTTATTTTACTTTAAAATTTAATTTTAATATTCTCAGAATAGATTAAATTAAATCAAATGCCTTTTAAGATTTTTATGATATACTGTGTCAATTTGATTATTTATTTAAATATCCAATACTTATTATTCATAAATATCTTAATAATGATATTAAATATTTTTCAGTAATGTAGAAGAATTTTATTTCGTAACTTTATAGTAAATTTAATTAATAATTGACACAAAAAATCTAAATTCTATATAAATTAACTAGTTTTCTATTGGAAACGCTAAAATATTTTAAAACTTTTAAATCGAAATTTAAGAAATATCTATGATTTAAAATCTATTGATCAGTTTCAGTCCATTCAATAAATAGTAACTTTACATCAGTTTAAATTACATGTATTTATTGTATTATGTTGATTATGTATATCATTAGGTGCATAAATGTTTGAATGTAAACGTTCAATAATTATAAGCTATATTTGCATCAAATAATTATTAGCATGGTTTAAATGTTTAAAGAAATTGAATAGAGAATCAGATATATGTGTAACAAAAGAGAGAGAATTTTAGAGGGAATTCTTTGGAAGGGAATCACGTTTCAGTAATCTCTCTGTAAAATGAATGTCGAGATCAGGGATTAAATTTGATTCTTTCAGTTTTGAAACAGTCGTACAGAATATCAATAGAAAGAGTGTAAGACTTTTTTAGTGATAAAACATTCCCTTCGAAGACATTTATAATGAAATATATCTGATTTGAGTTGCGTTTCACTGAACTTATGAATTATAAATAATAGACTTTTTAAGACTAACTTTGAATTGGGGTCTGTATTGCCAGTCGTTGTACTACTGCCGCAGAAATATGATATGAAATTATTTTACAGTATATATTGAAATTGTGTTTTATATTGGATTACACTATAAAATAGACTTATGTTTAAACTGGGGTTTTAGGAAATAAGAAAATTTGAATAAATCGATTCAATTCTCTATCTTTTTCTAAGTTTACTTTTTTATTTATTCAAACAAATTCATGTGTAAACATATCAACACATTTATACAATTTTATTTAGCAAACTGTAAACAAACAATAAAATAAAATTCGCTTCAATTATAATGTATTGAATACTAAATATCTGTAAGATATCAGTTTATCATATATTTAACCATTGTTTTTCTAAATCACATTACTTTAAACCTATTTTATATTAATATAAAAAAATTAAACAATTCTGTAGCTTAAAATTAAATCTGCTTTAACTGCATTTTATTTTAATAATATTATTGTAATAAATTGCAAAGTATAAATTTTAATATAAATTTAAATTGCAAAAATGTTACCTTTCACAGTATTTAGAACTTAGATATTAATTAAGATTATGTCTAATATTTCAAACAAGTAATATTAATTATTAATATACACTAAAAGAATATTCTTAAATTAAATATTAGTTACTGTACTCTTTTAGTGTTACCCTCAAAATATTTTTGTTTATTTTATATGTTATAAATTATAACTTATAATTAAACCGGATTAACATGCTGTTTCCTTATTTAGAAATATTGGTCATATTTTAACAATTAATTATATAACTTTCATTTGGATGAAATTATATTTTCTTGTCAAGGACTATATTGTTTTATAAATTGCGAATTATTTAGCAAGCATAAAACGTAAATTAATTTAGCTAGGAAATTTAATTATTCATAGAGTGTTTGCTTTTTTAATAAATAGCATAATCAAGGTTTTACCACCGATAGTGAATTGCATTACTTATTAACGCAACGGCTATTATAATAAAACTAATTACCGATAAAAATTTAATAAATAAATAGTTTGAGCTCTACTGAAGTGTATTTTTTATGCAACTAATATCACACACAATAGGCATTATTTCTCTTTTATTAACTATACAATGCTATTTTACTATAAAATAAATAGATAATAAAACATATAATTAATTTGTTTATTACATCAATGAATTAATATTTCAGGTACTAATCAACGTTTGGGGAGCTTTTAGTGTAATATTTTTAGCCACATATACGGCTAATATTGCCGCACATTTTGCCGGTCTATTCCTTATCCCAGAAGTCAACGATTTTCGTGATTCGAGCGTAAGTTTTAGATAACTTTTTACTACACTTTTTGTCTATAAAATAGATTTCAATTCAATTGATTATTGATTTGATTGATTGTCACTGAAATGACTGCACCAGATAAGACCTCCTCGTGTGATACTGACTGAGGATTAAAAACATTTATTTTTATAACCTATTTACAAAAACATTCTTGGTCAAAATAGTTTACTAAATTTAGAAATCGCATACAATAATTAATGTTTGAAGATAATATAATTAATTTGTAGTGAATTTTATGTACAAACTAGCGATTGAAATGTGTGTGCAATAATATATATATATTTATTTGAAACAGCATTAGGAAAGAGATATAACTGTAATATAGTGTGTGAGCTATCAATAAATCACTTTTTGTTTTTCACCCAAAGCTTATGAAACAGAGGACGGGAACGGCCAGAAGTAGTGCTTCTGAGGGCTATTTAATGGAAAAATATACAGATCTCTGGCATCACATCGAAAAAAATAAAGTCCATAACTTTGATGAAGGACTCGAACACTTGCGGTCAGACCATTGCCTAACCATTGCCTAAGCATTGCATTCATTAATTCTTTTGCTTATATTCGGTGTTTGGTAACGATTTTTGTGATTAAAAATTCATAACAGGAGCGACAAGTTAGATGTACTGATTGGCGATACGGCTATATTAGACTATTTCCGAGCCACTGATCCCAGTTGTAATTTAAGACTATTAGGGGATTCCATATTTGATGACGCCTACGCTATTGGTATGCAAAAAGGCTTTCCATTTCGGGTAATTTCCTTTTCATTCATATCTATCCATTAATCTGTTTATTGTTTGTTAGAATTGATATAATATAAGGAATTTATATTATTTTTATTTTTGCCAAATCGCTGGAAAGTAACCCCATTTTTATTTCAATAGTAGCGGATTTTTAGAGTTAATTGATTTTCAATGAAAACATGATAATCATTAAACTGGATATTTTTAGATCAAGCTCATAAATATAATCATTCATTTCATAGGCATTTTTAATTTAATTTAAAATTGTTATAAATTATTTTAATGTTTTAGCAGATTACTAGTATTCTTATATTCATAAATTAATATAATTTTTGCAATTATAACTAATAGTTTAGCATAAATTGACAGTTAATTATCTGGGTTTAAAATGATAGCCCAATTTGTAAGCCCAGATGTGTTGATTTTCAAATTCATATAAAAAGTTTTCTTAAAATAAAACCATTTATTAAGGAAATTTATATTTCATTCACGCGTTGTATTTAGTTATATATATAATTTTCATTTTATAAATCAATATTTTGTTTGGAATTTTATTGAATACATTCTTGAAGTAATTTACTTTTAGAGGACAAGAATTGAATTAATATTTGTTTTGGCAATTTGTTAACTTCACAAAGAAGATTAACAGGCAATGGTTGTGATACCCTTTGAATTTGTAGTGAATTTTTCATTCCTTTGCCAAACCATCACATGTTATGAAAGTCATTACATCTAAGAATCGATTTAAGCAATGAATCATTGGTCCGAATAAATATATATCTCGTATAAAGTGTTGGAATTTTGAAAAATTTGGGTTATTTCCAGACTTTTTTCTATTATTTCAATTCCTATTTATACAGAGAGAGAGAGAGAGAGAGAGAGAGAAAGAGAGAAAGAGAGAGAGAGAGAGAGAGAGAGAGCGTGAATTGCATGAATAAAGAAAAATCAATCATTTTATAGATATATGTACTCTAAAAAAGATGTGTTGCCTTACATTTGGTAACGTATTGTCATTTGATGTCACACTGACTCTAAAATTTCAAAACATTTGTCATATGAATGCTCGCCCAACAAAAGGAATTGATCTCAAGTCTGATACTGAAGTATAATGAGTACGGCTTTCTGGACCAATTGCACCGCAAATGGTATGGAAGAGTCCACTGTCTGGAGTCGTCGGCGCTGACCAAACCCAAGCCTTTGACTGTGAAAGCAGTCGCCGGAGTGTTTCTGATGCTATTCTTTGGCCTCATCGTTGGGACACTTATTCTACTCATTGAACACTTTGTCTTCAAATATATTCTTCCGTCGCTCAGAAAGAAACCCAAAGACTGCTTCTGGAAGAGTCCGAACCTTATGTTTTTCAGTCAAGTCAGTCTCAACTTCATTAGATATATAGCAAATATTAGATATAAAACTTGAATTCCATTCATAACTCATTTCTGCAGAAATTATACCGTTTTATAAATACCGTTGAATTGGTTTCACCCCATCATTCGGCCAAAGAAATTATGTCTAATCTCAGGGAAGGACAGATCGCGAGTCTCTTTCAGAAAAGTGTCAAAAGAGTGAGTTTTCTCATTATGTTTGACTTCAATTCAATTTAATCTAACGATTGAATGCGTTATTTGATTATAAAGTCAGTGAAAATTATTGGAAACTCTTTTTAAAAAAAAATAATTTTCTTTATATTTCCGCACAAATATTTCGTAACACAGAAAGCAAAAGAAGAGGCCAGACGTCGGAAAAGTAAATCACAATTCTTTGAGATGATTCAAGAAGTCAGAAAAGTGTAAGCGTTTAAAAAAGTTTATGGCAAAAAATATGTGATTACTTTCCATAGAAGTTAACGCATGACTTGGAATAAGAGAATATCCTTTTAAATATCTCTGTAATCACTTTCATTTCATATAAATGTTTGGCTTATTATTGAAAAATAGTGTTCAAAGAGCAGCACATGAGAGAAGTTTTAACGACTCGATCGAAGTCACAGCGGGAATGCCGTCAATCGTATCCAATAAGAAAGACTCGATTGTAACGGAAACGGAGTCAGTGGGGGCAGTGGGGGTAATGGGGGCGCCCACCACTTTCAGGACCTCTTCTATACGGTTCAAAGAGCACGAAGAGATCTTTGATGAGCGCATTCTTGTCCACAGAGAACCCCTTCCGCCGCATCTCATAGTAAAGCCCGTCTCGAGTCTGAAGGGCTCGGAGTCGAGGAGCAAACTACTGAAGTCCTGTCGGACCCCCACATCTGCCACGAGTAGTGGCGAATCCACTTACTATAGGAGTCCCGCATCGCCTGTCGTCAAACGCCGGTCCCGACCCACGCCTGCCCTCAACTCTCAACAGTTCACCACAAGCTTTAGTCTAGAAAACGTGTCGTACCCTTCAATACCCGACACCACTCTAACCAATAAATATGACGATCGAAAGACACAGAATAAGCGAAAGATGTGGTCTTTCGACGATTTGGATGCAATAAAACGTGAATTGAATGAACCCATGTCTCCATGCGATCGAAACCACTCGAGTCTTATGTTGTTTGAGTTCATCCCTAAGAAGAGTTCTGTGATTATGTCGAGTCCTCGGCATCGGATCGACAGCTTAAGGCTGGCGTCGATGAGCAAAGAGGACGTGTTGGCGATGTGGAGGTCCTCTGAACGGGAACTCCTAAACCAATTACAGGAGGCGTTGCAGCAGAAGCGGGCACTGGAGGAAAGGGTGGCTCTCCTGCAAAGAATGCTAATGAAGCCGCCCTGAGATGAGTGCTGTTTAGGCCACAGAATTATCACTCATTTCGCGATCCATTGGCTAACAATGCTTTCGAAAGTCATTATTTGATTGATTCAATTCAATACTCAAATTGTATTTCGATTTCATCGCGTTTTCTCCGATTTATTGACACAATCGGGTGTTTTGCCGATTAGTATATGAATTATGACACGAATGGAAAGGTTTGACTTAATGTTTGATTAGGAGTTGAGTTTCACGTTTGTTGAGCCAGACTTTTATATAAAAACTTTTACCGGTTTGTAAAACAACACATCATATTATTATGAATATATTAATTATATTACTAATTGTTATGTTATAATAGTTTTTGCAATCACACATTGTTATGTAATCTATAATTAGCGCCAGAATAATACTTAGTAAATGTTTGCTAAATTTTTTTTTGAAAATATTACTAAAAAAGTTCATTATTAACAATTCATAAGTTTTGAGAGACTAATCCTTTGCCGCACTTTTAATTACAAATTGAATGAAAAAACTCTTATAAATAGATAACAAATTGTATAAAAAGATTATATTTAATACATTGAAAAAATATTAATTAAATATGCAATTTTGTAACAAAACAAAACAAACACTCTTTATAGCCAATAGTCTTTGGGTTATAATATAATCTATTATTCAAATTCTTTAGGACTGACTATAATTTTGTATTTAATGCTTCTGTAGTTTAGTTAACAAATATTGCTTCCATTGGGCGCTTGCTTTTAGATCGATATCTAACAGAAACTAAAGTATATTTGTCTCGTTTTTTACAAATATATATATATATACATATATATAATACTGTATATATATTACACAATGCAGTTTTTGTTGTTAAGCTCTCAATTTTGGCAAAACTTTTCATATTTTTTATTGTTACGCTTATAATAATATTGAGTTTGTTTCTGTGCTTTACCACTATTAATACATTTCTAAATATAATTGAATCAAATATAATAAATTCAAAACTTATTTCTATGGAAAGTCAGAGAAGAGAAATCTTAAAGTGTATAATATATTACATTTTCGATTGACTTTGAGTTCCTTAACAAATACAAAGCCATTCATAGCTTTAAGGGAAGTCATGTTTTTTCTTCTCATTCACTGCTCTTATATTTTCAGACTTTTCATTGAATTTAATTTTTGCTAAGTTTATCGTCACTTATTTGGATTTGAGAGCAAATATATAAATATTATTTCAAAGATTATATTGTTATATATACAGCAAATATGAATTAAAAATATAAATAAAAAATATAAATAAAAAATACAAATATATATATATTTAAAAGTAATATTTAAATAATCAAAGTCTAAACAACAAAACTTTTAAGACTAATGTTTGGCGGCTCTGCTCTTGAATTAAGTATTTTTTGAATATTTAACTAAAATTCTTAAAATTACATTACAATTACATTCATATATTACATTATTTTTGAGAATTGGCTTTTTGTGATATAGGGGCCAATTAGGACCGTTAGCTTTATTCCTCTCTATCATTATAATTGACTTTTGTTTTCCAAGAATTTCATTCAATACTAATGACAGGACAACACAATTTAATCATTAAATTTAAAAGTCAGGGTATAATTTGATTTAAATGAATTCAAACACACATAATAGCTAAACATCATTAACTGATAACAAAAAACTATGTTTTCAAAATGTATACAACATTTCTAAACATCAAGTGTACTGTAATGACAAATACAAATCATATGTCATTATAAACTACTAACTAAAATATTTTATTCAATTATTTTTAAAAATTGTTTTAATATTTGAAATACTTATGAATTGTTATCCAAATAGGTTTTTGTGTGAAGCAATAATTAATTCATTGTATTATGTATTCATATAAATCTTAAAAAATTGTTAATTAATTTTAAAATTTGGTTATCAATCTTAATTAGACTAGCATTAAGAGTATTATATAAAATCTATTGAATTTATGGGCCAAACAAACAACAATTTTTTGAAATATATATTATATATATAAATGAATTGTACACATAGTTTGCCTTAGAATTGTTGACGAAATAAATTTTATTATTAAATATTAAATATAAGTTATGCTATGATTGCTATGATATGCAAGAATGAGACCATTGTGTCGATTGCTTTCCGGAGGTTTTGCTATCATTTCAAATGTAAACTCAATCTAATTTCAAACAATTAAATAAAGTTTTCAATTAAATTAACCCAAATTCATATGATTTCATACAAATATTATGCACATTATTATTACCAATACATTTAAAACCCATATTCCGGGTCCAGAATATTGTTGAGCACAGAATCCATAGCATGAATGATGTCTGACATGCCGTGAGAGGGCGGGAGTGAAGCCATGACTGCATTCACACAATGTGTTTGTGAACCGATTGCCAACGAAATACATTTCATCATCACTTCAGTCAACGATTCAAATCCAGTGAACATTGGCTCACATTTGTGGACATCATGTATGACAACGGCTTGACAGCTGTGGTGATGTCTGGAGGGAAGGGCTCGCGGATCACTGAACTCACCACCACTTGCGCCAAATGTCTGCTCCCCGTCGCCAACAAACCACTCATCTATTATCCATTGGATGCCCTCCAGAAGGCTAACTTCACCGGTCAGTACACACCACTGATTACCATTTCTGGTGTCCACTCATCGATGATGTCTTATTGTCTTCGCAGATGTTATTGTCATCGTTTCCGACACTGAAGAGGAAGCGGTCGGCAAAGCGTTGAATGAACTGAAACTCGATATTCGTATCGATTTGGTGTCCATTCCTTACAATCGCGACTTCGGAACCGCTGATAGTCTTCGGCTCATCAAAGATAGGATCAAAGTATTGATGCATTTCTTATAATTGTTGACATGATTTGTAATTTAATTTACATTTTGTTTGAACCAAAGAACGACATATTAGTGATCAGTTGTGACACAATCACCGACTTTCCCCTCAAGAGACTGATAGACTGGTATCGGATCCATAATCCGACTCTTTTAGCACTGATTTCTTCGATTCCGTATAACAACGAGAATGTAATCCCCGGCCGAAAGGGACGCGAAAAGAATGGTATGAATTGATGGCATGAGTGATGAGATGATGATTATAACCATTGGTGTCATAACTCTATCACTGATTAGAGAAAGACTTGATTGGAATCGATGCCAATAATGGCGATCGACTCGTGTTTCTTAGCTCTGAAGCAGATTTCGATGAAAGCGTTTCTTTCAGTCTATCGATGCTTAAGAAGTAATTATAAAAATTTCAATATAATTTCATTATAAGCATTGATACAAATATGTGTGCATTGAATAGATGTCCGCAAATGACTATCAAAAGCAATCTAATGGACGCTCACATCTATATCCTCAAGAAGTGGACGCTTCGATACTTACAAGAAAACAGGTTTTACTTTTAGGTTTCAATTGTTGTTCAGATGTTTTTGTAATGAAATGTCCATTTTTATAGCAAAATATCTTCACTAAAGGGCGAGTTTTTTCCATCACTTGTGAGGAAACAGTTCCGAAAGGAATGGACGGCAACGGTAGACAAGACGTCTAAGAACGCGGCCTCAATCATATCCATGTCAGGCGTCCCGCACCGGCACGTGTTTGACTTTATAGAGACCGGTGATATAGAGTTGGGTCTCCAGCGCCTGGAGCCTAATAATGCTAGCGATGAGTTGAATGTGGAGTCTTTGAAGAATCAGATGCCCAACAGTTATCCCGAAAGCAAAATCAAATGTTTCGCCTATCGTTTGAATGACGGGTATTGCGTTCGGGTCAACACTCTGTCGGGTTATTGTGAGGCCAACCGACTGATGCTGAGACTAATGAGTACTTCCGATCGCAAACCTGTCAAAAGCCAAAACTCAATTACAAGCAAATCACTGGTGGACGCCATCACCGGTAATGGTCTGACAGTTGGCGAGAAGTGTTCCATCAAACGGTCCATAATTGGCAATAACTGCACGATTGGAGACAAAGTAAAACTCATGAATACTATAGTTATGGATAACGTGAAAGTGGAAGAAGGCTCTAATATTCAGGGAAGTATTATCTGCTCTCAGGCTAACATCGGAACCAATTCTGAAATCAAAGACTGTATTATTGCTTCCGCACAGAACATCCATTCATTAGGTTTGTCTCACAATTGATTTTAATATAAATATAATCTAAATATATTTGTTTTGCAATTGACAGCAAAATTGACTAATGAAGTGATTTTAGACGTCAATCAGATGATGGAATGCGACCTTTCGATGACTTCTTACCAATGATAATGACCTCACGTTATAGTGAATTAAACATGTTCAAATAATTTTTTAAATTTAAATTATAACAGGGTTTTTATTACCGTAATCATTACAATCAATTGGAAAATAAAATAAAGTAATAATTTTCATTAATAACATTTAAATGAATTTAATTTAAGATAAGAATTTTGTTGTAAGTTTGTGCTCAGAATTAATCAAAGAATTTGTTTGAATTAAAGCGTTTACTCTATGACTGAATCATTTCAATATTGAGTACTTGTGTTGACTTTTGACAGGAACTCATTTGAACGGTTAAACTATTTGTGGTGCTGTCCAGCAATGGATTCTGTGACTGACTTCTGGGAAAATCATTTGCATTTGTAGTCAGTTGTTGAGCTCTGGACTTGTGTTGTGTTTGAGGCCGTGACTTGATTGCCTTCAATGGCTTTAAAACCATTCTATAGTTATGTTGTCTCCACTCAACAAATCGGGCGTAAAAAAGCCAAACAAAGACAACGACTATAACAGTGAAGAGAGTGCCGTAGAAAACGGTCGGAACAATGAGGATAATTCTGAGCACATTATGCACTAAACCGGCCGATAATATATAGTCCATGACTGCCAGGTATAGGATGTAATAGAGGAACGAAAAGATGATAATTCCTGTGAAGACAGACATATAGTTATCCTCTTTGGACCAAAAGAATTGACAGAACGTGTGAGGAATGACATGAATGTCGACATTCTTGTAACCAGATTTGCAGCCTTCGCAGCAATCCTTTTGGTTTTGGTCCACATGTGCGGCCAGACATGTGAAGTGAGCCCAACAACCATTGCCCTCACACTTGCAGACCGTAATCAATGGCTCGGTTTGGTCGGACTTCTTGCACAGTCGACACACCGGTATGTCTTCCAATTGAATTGTCTCGAAATCCTTGTCATTGATAACAGTTTTAGTCATTTTATTCTTAGTCTAGAATTTTCTTATTTCTGGTTAAGTTTGCGTTTAAATAAATTATTTCAAAGTTGATGCATTGCATTAGCATTAATGTATTGTTTGTGTCATTCATTTGATTTAATGTTTTTATTGTTTAACTAAACCCAGTAATTGTCTCTATAATAATCCCGTATAATATTATACAACAAAACTCAAACAAACAGATTTAACATTTAGAGTTTTACACTAGAATACTGTATAATATATCGTAAGTGTATATCATTAGCATATCTGATGAAACAAAACTTAATGTATATTAGGATTATCCCGGTGATGTAAATCATTTGAATCTTTCATAGATGTCAAATTTTTATAGAAGTGCAAAAATGACTATATTTGGGTCTATTTTTGGCCAAGTTTTTGTGTATCTTAAAGACCATTATTAATAATAAACAAATCCTACATTATTTATAAAAGTGTGTCACACATTTGATACAACTTTGCGATCTTACATGTGACCAATTTCTGGCCGTATTAATGTTTTCATAATGAATATAAGATGTGTTGAAAGGAAATTATATTTGCATGTTTTCATATAATTAATATACCGTATGTTCAGAATATACATAATATAGTATATAAATCTCTTAAAGATTTAGCATTTAATCAAAAGACAGAATTTAATGGATATTTATCTTATTATTTTCGACAATACTGGTACATTACTATATTTTCCCATACAATGGCATGAATTACACATTTTTGAATAAGAATTTATGATTTTATTTTAAATTTATATGATTTTAATGATATCTACGGTCAAGTTGAGGGCGAGTGGAGTTCGTCTAAGACTTATACAGTATTATAAGTTTTAATGATATAAAATACAAGTGGTGTCCCTATTTTGAAAAGAGTTGAAAACACATTAATTTCTATAACAAATAAAATGAATGTGAATTCGACTCATATTTGAATCATTAAATTATGGTTTTCTTTGTTTTGATGACAAACATAAAGAATATTATGAATGACTGATAGGAATTGGTTTCATTTGTAGAGCAATGGCTTCAAAACAATGGGTGAATGACTTAAAGAGGAAGAATAGCACGAAATAACAGACAATATAAATAACTAATAAATTGTGGAAAATCTATTATTTAATAATTTTTTGATGAATTGTCACAATTTGTCGCTTATTACCAATCATGAAATCATGCGATAATAGAATTAAGTCAGGAATACCATACACTGTACTGTATAATCAATTATTGAATGTAATACTACTGCTGTTATGATTCACTCGTGTATTCTTAACAAAATGACATAATTCTTAATGATTCATGTATTTGTTATAATGTCAATTAAAGTACTATACACTGTACTGTATAATCAATTATTGAATGTAATACTACTGCTGTTATGATTCACTCGTGTATTCTTAACAAAATGACATAATTCTTAATGATTCATGTATTTGTTATAATGTCAATTAAAGTCATCAAATACATTTATATGAGTTTATTTTATGGCTAGACTTATCGACAAATATTTTTTAAGACAATCTCCAGACAACCTTAACTTTTTACATAAATATTAGTAATAATTTATTAGATATTAAATAATTTGCAAACAATTTGCACATTACTTTGTATTCTTGAAATCTCATTAGTACATATGTTTATAAATATTGCATTTAAACTTATATTGTCGTGCCTTTGTTTGTTTTAAATGTCTTTTATATTTATGCAATTCATTGTAGATACAAAAGGGTAAAATAACAAACAATTGAATATACAATTAATACAAAAGTGTTTTAAGTCTATTTATAATGAGATAATGAGTTATTTTTCCGGGACTCCACATTACAACTGGTTTAATGACATGACTCTACTCTTAACCGATTGATTGATTGCAGTTAAATGACTTACTTTTGTAGACACATATTTTGAGTTAGAAATTAATCTCAATATGTTTTACCCTAATGTTAAGCATTAGTTTTTATTGTTTTCCAAAATAACACTATAGTATAAAAGCAATTATAATAATTATTATTTGAAAAAGAATTTCTTCGAGAGATTAAATGAATTTATTATCAGATGTATTATCACAAAACACATGTTAAGAAGCATTCAAACAAAAGTTTATTATTTGTACGCTTTTTAAGTGTATAATGAGTAATAAATATAAAAAGTAAATTAAGCGAAAACACAATTAAAGGATGTGTTTATTAGTTATAAATTATAATTTAGCGGTAAAACGAGAGGTCGCAACAAATATTTCAATCATTGGGTTATAGTGTAGTAAAAATATCATACATTTCGTGCTCTCAGATAATTAAAGAAATTGCTTTAAATTATTGCATTCAGTCACTGTTGGCCACCCTTTGCCCCTCACCTGTGCTGCAGAATATACGGCACTATAGTTTGTATTATAGTTTGTATTATAGTTTGTATTATTGCATGTAATCTGAAATTCAGATTCTCATGTACAACTATTTCAACAAATTTATAGACATGTAGAAAAGTGGATAATAAATATAGCGGCAATAAAAAATAAGATTATACAGTGTTTTACAATACATTATACTGTATTGAGTTTGTTAAACATCACTGTTTATACAGTATCTTAAATTGTATAAATATAAATATAGAATAAATAAACAATTAATATATGATATTGAGATCAAACCAATGTGTGATCAAAGTTCGACATACATGTAGATTCGGGTCAAAAACAATTTTATAATTCAATTAATGCATTCAATCCAATAATTGTAGTCAGTTTTTGTGCATAACAAGCATTATACAAATTTATACAATAGAAATCATTGACTATTTGTTTGATCTTGGCAATATGTTTGTGGTTTATTTATAAATTTATGTTTTATAATTTATACACTATAATATTAAACATTTTTAACGAGTTTTTAACGTGTTATTATTATTACATTAAAAATTATACTCTAATAAAAAATATTTGGCAAAGATTTATATCGAGAATAATGATCTCTTTATAAAACTGTTTTGTCAAAATAAATTATTGTTTTGGGCGTTATTTTTAAATTAAAAAATGCATTATTCTCAAATTTATTCGATGATAATTAAATAGTTTTCTGCAAATGATGTTATTTATCATCGGAGTAATTGTTTTTATATGAATTATACAAATATTTGCATTGTTTGAAAAATTAATGATTTACAACTATAAACAGAATCTAGAATTTGAGTTCAACTTCAGACACATTAGTGTGAAAAATATTATTTGCAAAGAAACCAATTATTGTAATATATTGTAGTACGAGATAAATGTGAGTAATTTGTTGATTTAGAAAATTCCCTACTCCTCTGTGTATTACATCTACACCACTATTGATATAATACTCTTTGAATTATTAAAAATGTAATAAAATTACATAAAACAGGAATTAACAAACTTATTAACTGTGGGTGCGGTCGACAACCCCAGCAAACTACCAAAAATGTTAAACTAAATTCAATCGATTTTGAAAATAAAAGTAAAACTAAAAATTTATTAAATCTTTTGAGTCTAATTCAAAAAAAGTTTATTTTAAAAAAATAATGACAAAAACTGTTCTCGTTTTCCTTTTTGGCAACATTTCTACAAAATTTATCGTTTGTTTTCATGTGAACTCTACAAACAAGTCATTTACTAATAAAACAATTTTTTGCAATTATTCTTAAATCGGAAATTAAATACATGTCTATTCATACAAACTATGAATATTCACACTTCCCATCGGTGCCAACTTGCATCCAAAATGTCAAATAATTTTAATTATAACTTATTCTCAATTATAATTTGCATTCAAATAAAAGCAATTGTTTTTAAAATTGCTATTTCATTTGGCTTAAAGGGTTACTAAAATATCACACATAAAATCATATTTATTTATCATAAAATACTGCACTTCTACTACAGTATAAAAGTGATATAATAATGGTATGAATCAGAAATATAATGTCTATTGTAATGCTTGAGAAATTCTCACCACTAAAAGTCTAACATTTGTTTTGACTGATGAACAAAAAATATTTATTATTTCTCGCTTTTATAGTAAAACAACAATATTAATGTTATCATATAACTAAATTGATATTAAGTTCAAAAGGTTATGCAAAAAAGGGTTGGACACAAAAATGAAATTATAAAATTCGTGTTAAAAGTATGAGAAACTAATTATGAGTTTTGTAGAGAATAAATAATATTCTGCGAAATGCATCGATTATGCGGTCGTTTGGGACCGGAATTAGAGATTATATAAGAAAACAATTGTCTGATTGTTGAGTCAATACACCCACTGGCGGATCAATTTTAATGAATACAGAGTCAACGGCCCTATCATTGTCTTAAACATACAGTTCCTCCATTCATCACAAAACTCAACGCATTTCGCACTCTGTTTCTCAAAAGAGGCGAAAAAGTTTTAATAAAATATAATCAAAATCTATTAGATTTGCATAAGAAATACAAAACTCAAGACTCAAACACTGAACACCTATTCTGTATGATTGCGAAACAGGTTTCCCAGCGCTTCGGTCGCAGTATGAGCACAGGTAGGCGATAGGCCATACATGTATGCAATTCAAGGTGAGATATATTGGCAGTCAGTCAGTCACTGGCAGTCAAGTGACCCAAATTGACGGTAATATTGGCTGTGCAACAAACAGCCACTCTATTACAGCCTATCTCTATGCCTATACAGTGGTGTAGCTCTACGTATGGACTGACAGTTGTAGTGAAGTGAGTGCTGTGTGTGAGAGCTGTGTTCATGAGCAGTGATACAGAGCAATCACGTGAAGAGTTACCAGGGGGAATGGGGGTGGAGTGCAGTACTGCAGTAAACATACACTGAAATAGTGACCCCCGTTATAGGTATCGTCTTATTAGTAGACGTTGCCATTAATG